ATGGCTCATTTCTGTTAGTGCTGTGACTCCTGCTGCTTTTCACATACTTGGAAGATGACAGCTCTGAGTCTCACATCTTAAGGACACTGAGGGACACAAAGCGTCTCTTGTGGCACTTTACAAAAGGCTTTCTTAAGGTATACTTATTTACTGCACATATGTAAAATTTATAATTTGATAGACTTTGAACATGAATATAGCTGTGAAATCATCACAGTAAACAAGATAATAAACACACTTTGAAACTTAAGTTTTCTTGTGACCCTTTGTATTTCTTTATTTCCAGTGCTACCACATCCAACCCTGGAAGCCACTGATTTATTTTTCTGCCACTATGACTCAGTTTGCAATTTTCTATAGTTTTGTATTAGTAAAATCATATGGCATGTACTCCTCTGAGCTGGTATTTGAGGTTTGTCTGTGTTGTTACGTGAGTCAGTTGTTCATTCCTTTTTATTGTGGGAGCTATTAGATGACCTGGAGAGAACTATGGTTGTTTATCCACTCATCTTTTGATGGACACTTGAGTTTTCAATTCTTGGTTATAATAAAACTGCTATGAACATTTATGTATTAAGTTTTTGTATGTACACATGCTCTTATTTCTCTTGAATAAATACTTAGTGAGTCAAGTGACTGGAACAGACAGAAGGTATATGTTAACTTTTTAAGACTTTTTTACCAAAGTAGTAATACCAGATTGTTTCTAGCAGCTGTGGGAACTTCAGTTGCACCACATGCTCTGAGGCTCATCGGTACTTGCCATGGCCAGGTGTAGTTTTGTGCCATTGTAATAGATGTGTGGTAGTATCTTAGTGTGGGTTTACTTTGTATTTACCAAATGATAAGCTTTTCTTTTATATCCTGTTTGCCACCAATAGGACTTCTTTGATGAAATGTCTATTAAAATCTTTTGCTTATTTTAAAATTAGATTACTTTTTATTGAGTTTGCATGTGTGTGTATACAGGTACACATTTTTTCTACGTAATATTTCTTTGTCAGGTATGACTTGCAAATATTTTTCCCAATCCACAGTTGGTCTCTTATCCTAGCAGTTTCTTCAGAGAACAAAGATTCTATTTTATTTTGATGGGACTGGGGTTTGAACTTTGTGCTTACAAAGCAGGTGCTCTACTGTTTAAGTCACACCTCCAGTCCTTTTGCTCTGGATATTTTTGGAGATGGGGTCTTGTAACGTGTTTGCCTGAGCTAGCTTAAACCTCAGTCCTCTTGATCGCAGTCTCCCACGTAGCTAGGATTACAGACCTGAGCCATCAGTGCCCAGTTGCAAAGATTTTATTTTTGACAAAGTCCAGTTGATAATTTTTTTTCTTTTATATCATGCTTTCAGTCTTAGAAATCATATCTAAGAAATATTTGCCAAACAACACAGACTGCCACGTATGGTTTTTAACAAAAGCTTTTTTTTAATATAGTTTAACATTTTTGTCTGATCTGTTTCAGTTAATTTTGATATTGTATGAATTATTGATCAAAGTTCACTTTTTTTGTATATGGAGACCTTTTTCATTCTAGCAAGAGCATCCTTTGTTGAATTCTCCTTGTACTGTGTTAGAATTCAGCATGTGTGGGTTCTATTTATGTGCTATTTTTTCCATTAGTACATTTATGCCATACTAAGCTGTGTTCATTATTGTATCTTTGGCTCAGTGATTGCCTTACAAATTTGATGTTTTAAAACAGTTTGATTCTAGGATTTTCTCCATTTCCATATGAATTTTAAAATCATCTCTATGCAAAAATACAAAAAAAATCTGGGATTTTGATTTTGTTACATATAAAAATCAATTTAAGAATTGACACCTTAACACAGCATTTGATCTCTGACCCATAAACTGGTGTATCTCTTTATTTTTGTCTTATTTTCTCTCAGAATGCTTTTAGATGCACAGATTAGTGCATATCTTTAGGTGTCACATTTTTAATGCTATTATCAATGAAAGTGAAATTTATAAAACTTTGTTATTAATATACACGAATGTGCAATTAAGCTTCATACATTAATCTGGTATCTTACAATATTTGCTTTTTGTAAATATTTACTATCTCTTTTGTTACTTATTACTAATACATACAAATGTGCAATTAAGCTTCATACATTAATCTGGTATGTTGCAATATTGCTACTAAACTCACTACTTTAAATATCTTTTACTGTAGATTCCTCAGTTTTTTTTTTTAACATATTGATGTCATCTGTGAATAAAGACAGGTTTACTTCTTTGTTTCCAGTCTAAATGGTTTCATCTATTTCCTGATTACACTGGCTAGACCCTCCGTGTAGTGTTGAGTAGAAGGTAATGAGAAACAGTATCCTCATTAGGGGAAATTGTTCAGTCTTTCACCATTCACTATGCTGTTTGGCAGCATCTTTAATCAGATCTTTAATTGGAGTGAGGCTGTTTCATTCTGTTTCTAGCTTACTGGAGTTTTTATTAGGAATGGCTGTGAAATGCTTTTTCTTTGCTGAGATTAGCACGTTTTTTTTTTCCATTTTAGTTGATACGGTCAGTTATATTGATGTCAAACATCAATGTAACCTTCATTTCTGGGGTAAACCCACTTGGTGATGATGATGTATTCTCTTGACTGTTGTTAGTCTGAACTTACTAAAATATTTAGACTTTTTGCAATTGTTCATGAGTGGTATTGGTTATTTGAGTGTTTTCCTTATAATGTGTATCTAGTTATGAGATCAGGGTAACATAGGTTTCATAGAATTCCTTTTTTTTTGAAGAGGAATTTGTAAGGAAGTGGTATTTTTTGTAAATGTTTGATACAGCTCAGCAGTAAAACCTGCCTCACTTGGGTTTTTCTTTGTGGGTACTGTTTTTGTTTTTACTTTTGAATTCTTTTACTTTAAAGTATCTATATTTAAAAGTGCATTTTCTGTGGTAGGGCGCTTGTCTAGAAAGTGCCAGTCTGAGTTCAGTCTCCAATACCACATACATACACACGCACAAATAATAGTTCATTTTCTGGAAGCAACATATAATTGGGTCTTTTCTTAATGCTTAATGGGAGCCATGCACCCAGCCCTCTTCTGTTTTTGTTTTTGAGATAGGGTTGTTCTAACTTCGCCCAGGTTGGCCTTGAACTTGTGATCCTCCTGCCTCCGCCTTCTGAGTAGCTGGGATTACATGTACCACCAAATGAAGCTTTTAAACAGGAGGAAAATGTTGACTATAAGCCTATCAGATGATTTTCCCTCAGTTTTTATTGGCTAGGATTGTATCCAGGGCTTGGGCCTGAAGGAAGCAATTCCAGAGGCAAGGGGGGATTACCATAATTGGCTTCGCTTAGCACAACTCAAGATGTGGTCTTCAGACCAGTAATACCCAGCATCACCTGGGAACTTGATAGAAATTCAGATTCTATGACACTACCCCACACCTACTGAATCAGAAACCTGAGGCTGGGGTATGGTCTAGCAATTTGTGTTTGACGCGCCAAAGATGGAGAACACTAGCCTACACTAACCTTTACCTGAACTAGAGAGTCGTACCTAGTCCTGATTATATCTGGACTCTGTTAGCAAGGATGGGTGGAAAGGTTTATGACCTACTTGTATTACAGTAGACGTGAGTTGGGGCCCAGGATTATGAATTTATAATTAGTATATTCAGTAGACTGTAGACCACACTCTAATGTGTATCCTCTAATGGTATGTCACAATTACTATTAAATTGTTTAAAGGACACTTTGTTATCTTCATCTGTAACAGGAATTGGCAGATAGCCTCCCCAGGCAAATCATGTCCATTGCCTGCTTTCTGTGGCTGGAAGGATAGATTTTCACATTTTTAAATGATGGAAAACAAGCAAATTTTCTATAAATAAAGTTTACAGGAACACAGACATGATTATTTATTTACCTAACATCTATGATGTTTTTGTGTTCTCAAAACTAAAAATATTTCCTAGCTGGCCCTTTCCTGAAAAAGTTTGCCAACCCCCATCTATAAGAATAAGTTACTAGAGAATAATACATTCTTTATCTGTCCTGGATAACTGATAAGTTACTGTAACAGGTAGAAGCCCTGTCTAGAATAGTAAAAGTGCAAATAGTGAAGTATATTTTAAGAATATGTGCTCATTAGAATTATAGTAACTTTGAAGTAATATTACTTTAATGAAATTTATGAGAATAAACTGATAAATATAGCAAGATCAATTACTGGAGTCTGCAGTTGCAAGGGAAGTAATTCCGCCCCTCCCTAACCTCATTTTAGTTAACTGCTAATTCTTTTCTCAGACTGTTTTACTTAACCTGATTTATCACTGAAAATACTCTTCTTAAGTTTACCTTGGCATAGTATATTGGTGAGACCCACAGACCCTTCCTTAGTAGTTGCAGTGCCTCCTTGGTGGTTATTTTGAGTACTGTCCATTTCTGTGGGATGATTGTGGATGCTGAAAGTGGATTTGTCCCTAAAATGCATTTTTTAACGTTGTTTTTTTTTTGGCTTTAATGAAAAAGCATATACTAAAGTTTGGAATAGATTTGAAATGGCAAAAATATTAAGTGTTCAGAGAATTAACAAAACACTGACTTGTGTTTAGACTTACTGTTTTTTAATGCACATAAAATTTGACTTTTTGACCATGTCATGTTTGCATCCAAGTTTGCATATGATTCTGTAGCAGAAAAAGAGATGAAGGTGTTTAACTTTAGGCATATAATGTGAGATCATAAGATTGTCCTGGTGTCCCTTCGGTAACAAAAGTCCCTGACTCTCTGAAACATTTAAGGGGGACATTGTTAGAGCTGTTTTTGAAGTAGTTCTCAGCAGGCTTTGGGAAGTGCCATATTCCATTTGAGGATATTTGCCTGTTAAAAATGACTTTTGGTACTTTGAAGTAATCAAATGTGAGTTCTTTTTCTAAAGAAACCATTAAATGCATGTTGTTTTCCCTAGAAGAGAGGCATTCTCTCTGTGCCTATATCATACCTATAATATAGATTTCTCTTTTTAAGGTTATACGTTGGCTCTTCAAAGACACTCACCTCATCAGAGAAATCCATGAGTCCTTTGCAGTGGTGTAGACACGTCCTAGATAACCCGACTCCTGAGATGGATGCAGCCAGACGTTCCCTGTGCTTTAGACTGGAGCAAGGTATTGTGAACGTGTGCCCTTGCGTTCTCCAACTCTAGCCACTCTCGGCTCTGCTTTCATTCCTGGTTTGGGCTAGAAACTTTAGTTGAGAAAACCTTACCCAGAGGTGCAGGTGTTGCATGAAATTCCTTTCACATATGCAGCACACCACAGTTTCTCGATATAGACTGTATTTAGGTTTGTGTTTGTTATAATTTTTCTTGTAATGTAGGAACACATTGTTTTCCATTCTATTTGCAAATATTCCAGTAAGTGAAAAGGGGCAGTCTTCAGTTTCCTGGAGCTGAGAGCAAGGTTGTCTGGTTGAGTTCTAAGGCAGAAAACTGGGATTCCGTTGGGATCTGAGTACTAACCTTATCAAGCTCCTTTAGTGTTTAATTGGTTGTATAACTGGATGTCTCAACCTTCATAAATTAGGGAAGAATCTCTGTACTGTATATAACACACAGATTTATGGAGCCCAACAGAAGTGTAAGCATAACAAAACAAAAAGGGAGAGGGGGATTGAAAAGACAGTTGTAGAAGGAAAAACAGCAAAAGGAACCAGTATTCCTCAGCACCTTACTGTCTTGATGCAGTAGACTATTTAAAGCTGTGATAACTTAGGTTTTTGGTTTCTTAACCTCTTGGCATGTGTTGCAATATCTAGAACAGTCTTTTCCATGGACCACCTACATCCAAATAATGTCTGAGCTTGAAAGTACAGGTTTCTGTCCCCTCCAAATTAGTGTTTCTGGTAGGGCCAAGTGAATTAGCACCGACCCGTTTGCCTGGGTGATTTTTATGCACACTGACATCTGAGAATACTGCTTCTGAAGCCCTTTAAGGATAATGAGTGGCTATGAAATATTTGAACAAAAGACAAAGTACAGGCAATATTCTGTGGGCTCTTCGATAGTCAGTACCTTAAATTCTTGACATCCTTCATCTTACTCACTCTAATTGTCCTTTTAGAGAGAAGAAGAATTAGGTTTAGAGACATTTAGAGGATTGCAAGGCTGGAGAAGTACTTGGGGGAAAAAGGCAGAGCTGGTGTCTCCCAGATACCAGAAACCCTGTCCTCTGTATTGGCATAGTCCTAAGTAAACATCAGCAAAAATCTATTTTAAATATTTGAGGAAGAGCATGTCTTATTAACATTTTAACTAACATAAAATAACTGATTCAATAGTAGCAATAGAGCAGGCTCTATTGGTTGATGCTAGCATTCATTCTGTTCCCATTCACCTCAGTGACCCTAAGCAGACCATCAGGTCCCTCTGGACTTTGCTCTTTTGGGAGTTGTATAGTTCACCCCTAAGGCTTTTTAGTCAAGCCTTTATGGACTTATCAATACATTTTTAATATGTTAATTTGTCTAAATAATTTGAAGTGAAAGTAAAATGAAATTCAGAATTACAGTTCCTTAGCTCAGGGGCCAAACTTTTTCTGAAAGGGGCCGTGTTGTAAATAACCCTAGGTGTTGCAGGTTACAGTCTGTTGTGACTATTCAATCTTGCAGTCACTGGAAAGCAGCCAAAGATGTAATTAATAAACTGTGTTAATAAAGCTGTGTTCCTATAAAACTTTATTTATGGACACAGATTTTAATTTCATGTGTTTTTTGTATCATAAATTATATTTTACTTCTATTTTCTACTAATAAATGTAAAAACCATTCTTCTCTGGTAGACATGACAAAAAGAAGAGCAGACTAGACTTGAGCCAGCTATGGCCATAGTTTGGTAACTCTTGCTTTAGCTTATTTGTACACAGGTAGAGGAGAAGCTCTTTTATTTTATTGTTTTTACATTTACTTACATGTGAATACATTATTTGGCCCACTGCTTCCAGGCAGAACCTTTTCCGCTCTCTTGTTCAGAGGACAAGCTTTTAAGTTTAATGTAAATCTAGTTGATATTTTAGATCGTGTCTGATTACCTAACTTTCCTTTTATTGAGAAGGGGCTCAGCTAAGACTAATTTGTAAAAGGAATTGTGAGGTCATGAAGACATGCATTGACTTGCTGTAGTTTGTGTGTGTGTGATATAATTAAATTTCATGTAAAAGTTTAGAGAAATAGTTTTTCAAAACTAAGATTAGTCCTTTACTAAATTTGTGGGGAACCTGTAACCTCTTTTGCTGTAACTATTTTTGTTTCAAAGATCTGTAACCTGTTACGAGAGGTTAACTGATGGGGGAGGATACAAATGTCAGTGGTAGAACACTTGCCTAGCATGCCTGTGGCCCTGGGTTTGATCTCTAGCAGAGCGTAGGGTAGTAATTGGAGTGGGTTATCTATTAGATGAAAAAAAAAAGTAAACTTATGCTTCTATTTTATAAAATGCACAGTTTAAAAAATATTAGTCTTCCGAGTCTTATAATAAAAATAGATTTCTATCCCCTCTTCCTGTTCCTATTTTATTTTCCAGATGCATTACATAACAAAGGTTCTTTGTTCTGGTTTCCCTGTTTACTTTTTTTCCTTCCAAGGATCAAACCTAGGACCTCAGGCATGCTACTCTGCCACTGAGCCATGTTGCTAGTCCTGTTTACATTTTTCTAAATCCCATTTTTGTATGGCAGTTGACTTAAGTTCTCAATTTTAAACGTTATCAATTTCTCTTTTGACCTTGATTTTAGTTCTTTTAACACTCTTTTTATACTTTTTCTCTGCCGATCCTTCCCATGTAGCTTTTTACCAATTTTGGATGCATGAATATCATTTTTTCCTTTCATGGTACTGGGGTTTGAACTCAGGGCCTCATGCTTACCAGGCAGGTACTCTACCACTTGTGCAACTCCACCAGCCCCAGGATGCATGAGTTTTTAGTACAATAGAAACACTCATGTAATATTTTAACATTTATTTTTTTCATCAAACATTTTGGATTTTAGTTTTTTTTTTTTTTTTAAGGCTGGGTGTGTTAACGGTGCTAGTGCAGTCTGTGATCAGAAGACTTCCAAATTCTTTGTATCCCACTGAGAAGAATCCATGACAGGACACATGGGTTTACAAAGAGTTTATTAAAAGTTAGGGAAGAGAAATACAAAGGGAAGCATGGTGAGGCCCAGGTGGAAGCCAAAAGCCAAGAGAGTGTTTCTGCTCTTCAGGTGCTTTTAAAACCTACAATAACCTATGGGAAGTTGAGAACCAGGTGATTCTCATCTAATAATCAATGAGTCGGGAGAGGCCTGGGCAGTTCCCAGCCAGGTGAGGGTGGATTCTGAGCCAAAGCATGGTTAATCTAAAATGTAATACATTTTTTCTGTGAGTCCCAAACTTTCCCTACTTTAGCCTCAAATTCCCTGAGAGACAATATTCCAAAAAATTCTTTCTTGGGGGTTGTTGAAGGAAGGGTGGTCTTCAGTATCTGCTTCGAGCTGACAAGGGGCAGCAGACTCTGCCTACAAGGGACATTGTCTCTCCCACTTCCTTTCCTTCAGGATCATTCGGACATAGAGAGTTTGAATTATTGTCAAGGTTTCTCATGGAGATCTGGGTTGCTTATGGAAATCTCATTCCTTTGTATAGATCAATAGCTCTGTTTCCTTATGATTTGGGTCTGAAAGGCTTTCATTCTGGAAGAGATAAATCTGATTTAGAGGTAGGACCTGCACATTAACAGTGATGGAGCATCAGAGGGGCCCTGCCAGCTGTAACAGGAAGGTTAAAGAATCTAACTTTTCACTTTGAAAAGTGATAAGTGTCTAATGGTTTAATTTGTCCATAGGTGTTTATATCTGTAGCTATTTTTAACTGTTAGATGGCCCTCTATTTTGAACGGTCACTGTAGTGGGCAGTTAAGAGCTGACTACATTAGGGGTCAGGTGTTCCAGAGGGCAGATGTCTGTCCAATTAGAGAGTAAACATCAACGAGTCAGTTCTGTACAAAGACGACTCACAGTGTCCCTAAGCAGAAGTTAGATACCATTGAAAGTTCTATTGCCTGTGCTTAAACAGAAGGCCTTGGCCAAAGACATGAGTTTGTCTTCTGCTGGCAACCTAAAAGGCTTAAAGATTACAGCACATGTGTAGGAGCTCCTTTTAAAAATCTCTTGGCATTGGTTGCTTTTAGAGGTCTGGCATAATTGACTCCACCTGGATCTGGAGAAGCCTCCTCATTTGTGCAGTCCTCTTGAACTGCCGTGTAGCTGAACACCACTGTTCCTCTAAGAAGTGGGGGGATGCTGAATGCTCGGGGTCACGTCCTTTTTAACTCTGAACAGTCAGCTCTGAAGATTCTGCCAAAATGGTAGTTTTGTCTCTCTGAGCAGGAGTAGCTTCTCCTGGAAAGTCACAGCTTCTTCCAGAAAGTCAAGATTTTGTCTCATGGAAGAGAGGGAGTAACACATCAGACGGATCAGAAGTCAGTGCCAATGTGACCTTTCTGGCAAAATTAAGCAATAAAGATATTTATTTAAAAATGGCTCTTAAGCTTGGCTTAATTGAATCTAATTGTCTCATATGGGATATACCGACACCCTTAAATTGACAATAGACAACATTTATAAAGTTTTACAAGGAAAATACAAAATGACTCCAATACTTAAGAATGTCTGTCCTGGTTGACAGATAAGCAGTTGTCAGAGTTATTTTTCATGGGCTTGCCTGTAAATGCTCCTAAAGTATCAGAACTATAATGATGGTTACTTAAAGTAATCATGGTTAATAGTTTAGCAATTAATATAATAGTACAGTACTACTAAACCTCTCTTACTATAATTGGGAACATATGCACAAACTTGTAAAAGGAGTTAAGACACCAACTTGGTACAGTGTCTTTTTATAACTATTTCAGAAGTCTTATATACTTGAAGACAAAGACATCTAACATATAAAAGATCCAGTAGCGGCATCACAATTTAAACCTAGGTTAGGCAAAGTAACAAGTTAGTGGTTGTCAGTACCGTACTGACAGAACTAACAAATAAAAACCCTAAATTTTCCATTGGTTAAGGGAAGGCAGTGTCAGTAATTTCAAATAGCCCCTGTTTTGATGCTCAACTGAATATTATAT